TTCGGAAACTGGAGGTCCAGTGATTGAGGCTAGCTCTTTCTAAGGGACCCAACTGAATAGGTGTTTTCCTTCACCTGAGGACGGAAACAGATCCAGTTTCCGAAACGTCGTGTTTTTATTTGTTATCTTAAAAACCAGGACGATCGATAAAGTCCAAAATCCCAACATATCAGTGTGTAACTGGGTTATTATTATTATTATTATTATTAACTTCTATGTGTGTATGTATATGTATTGTCCTTTCTCATCACATAATGGAATAACCATTCGAAATGCACTTACTTTATTTTTCTCGCCTGTTAAAGCTTTTTTTTTCTTTTATTTTCTTACAATTGTTTCTAATTTATTGATATTGTATAGACTGTCATATTTTTTATTTTTTTGCTCTTTAATTTTTGTGTATTTCTATGTACTCGTGCTAACTTTGCAACTGGCCACTGTGCTGTTAAGTGTGCACATAAATAAACACGAATTGAATTGAATTATTACTATTTTTTTCCCTGTGGCGCTTCAGCCCCAATTTGGGCCTAGGCCTACCTCCATTAAACTCTCCGTTTCACTTCGGTTTACTAGATCTTACACATACGGTAGGACTCCTTGGGCGCGGGATCAGCTCGTCGCAAGGCCTCTACCTGTACACAAACACAGAAAAACGCACACAAACATCCATGCCCTGAGTGGGATTCGAACCCACGATCTCGGTTTCCGAGCGAGCGAAGACAGTGCATGCCTTAGACCGCTGGGCTACCGTGACCGGCATTATTACTATTATCATTATTATTATTAATTTGGAACACTCTTACAAGCTAGTTGTATTATACGCATGTAATTCTCCTGCAAGAGAATTTCGAAAGGGGTTCTTTCTTGACGTCACCGGTATATACGTATGAAATATACAGGATGGATTTTTACTTTGTTGAATTTTGCCGATGAATGTGCATGCCTGGCGGCCAATAACTTTCGGAATGAAGTAGCTACAATTTACAGATCACAAGTGGTGCTGAAAACTATTCCCTCTACACGTAGATTTCTTTCGCAATTAAGTGTTTCGTTAAATACGAAGGTACAACAACAGACACTTCAAGTACACAAGACACCAACTTTCACTGGATGGAGCGGGACTTTGTAGCTTAGGTGTGATTACTGTGAAATCCAGTAGCAATTATTTTTAGTATTTTTATATACCAGCAAGTGAAACGGCGCTTCATCAGAAAAGAATGTCAGTTGCAGATCGATCCCACCTGCGACGACAAACTGTAGGAAACAACTGAAAAAATGAACCTTGGTAGATGGATGGTGCACCTGCAAGGAGTAAGTTGGATTTCTGTTTCCATGGTGTCTAAGCTTCACCAATTGTGTTGCCCTTCTTGCACTAGACTTTGACACTCCCCTCTCTTGAGCTAGACATTTCAGTAATTTTATACGTGTACGTTCAAGTCTGGCTCCTGCGTCATCCAACTTCTCCTCCTCAGCAAGAACTCGGCGCTTTAAGGCCGCGCCATAGCTCAAGCGATTAATCGCTGACTTCCCACCGCGGCGGCCCGGGTTCGTTCCTGGGTCTGGTCAAGTGGGATTTGTGGTGGACCAAGTGGCGCTGGGGCAGGTTTTCTCCGAGTACTTCGGTTTCCCCTGCCAATCTTCATTCCACCAACTGCTCCACAATCACCCTCACCTATCATCTGGGGCTGGTACAATAGGCCAGAAATGGCCACAGTACAAGGGACTTAGTCCCACCCCACTAGCATTAAAAAAAAGCACTGGGCGCTTATATTTTTGCTTCTTGTCTATTAGGAGTCCCGTTTATCTAAGTTTATTCACCAAACTGCGAATTGTGTGAATGCTGGGAACTCTTTCATCACAAAATTTATATCACAATTTTCGCCAGCACTTTCTAGCAGATCCGTATTTCACATAGGTGTCTTCCGTTTCGAAGAGTGGACGGATTCTACATTAATGACATGAGGATCATCGACCGAGAGAGGTAGAATTTTCCGATAGCTCAACTTCAAACTTGGGGTCTATTGTAGGTTGTTCATATATTTGAATTTAGGAAACAACCGTGAAATATAAGATTAGATCCGAGGGAGTTGACACCACCTGTCGTTACGCAGTGACCACGTCACGAATACTTGAAGCTACACTCGTGGAACGATGCAATGCGCGTTCTTTGCAAAGAAACCCTAAATCTTTAAATTCTGATATGCGACAAGTTAGACGCCAGCTCAAGCGGTAAAACAACTGGCCACGGGCAGGATGACTGGGCTGACATGAGCTTTGTCTCCACCGCTGTGTCCACATTGATTCCGGGTCACACCAAACGGATTCCAGGAACATTTTCGCCGATGTGGAAAGCGGCGGGAATACGAAACTCACCATTAATAAGAGATAAGGAATAAGCGTGATTTTCCTCCATGCCCCTATATCCCGTCACGGCATGGTGCTTGGGCACAGGGGCAGCTGTTTACCGTTTAAGCTTCAGGCTCAGAACTACGATGTTCCTGCTGCTGTGTGTCCTCTGTTCGGTAACGAAGCTGATGTCTCTGAAGAAGAAAATGTTTTCTTTTATTGCTAGTGGAGTGGGACTAAGTCCCTTGTACTGCGGCCACTTCTGACCTATTGTACCAGCCCCAGATGATAGGTGAGGGTGATTGTGGAGCAATTGGTGGAATGAAGATTGGCAGGGGAAACCGAAGTACTCGGAGAAAACCTGCCCCAGCGCCACTTTGTCCACCACAAATCGTACTTGA